TTCCCCCAAGTCTTCTATCACCCACAAAACCAGAGAGAGCATTCTCAATGGCTGTGTCACCAAGAAAAATACTAAATAGCACTGACTGCAGTATCAACCCCTGAGAGGCGTCACTTCTAATACATCACGTTCAGATTTTTTTCAAGCCTGTGATCAAACTTCTGAGCCCAGTCAGCTCTCCACCAACCGCCTACACCACCCCTGTCTTTTCAACCCAGCTGCAAGGCACACACCATAGGGAACTGTGTCCAAAGTCTAGACAAAGTTGAAGCCAACAATATTCACTGTCCTGCTTTACCCATGCAGTCAGTCACTTCTCATCAGCAACAGCTACTTGGTTGGTTAGTCCTTGATAAACCCACGCCAACTGATCCAAACCACCTCCTTATCCTTCCCACCAGTTTCCAGGAATGCTTCCTAATATTCCTTTAGGCTGACCAACCTGCAGTCTCTGGACCAGACCTCCTGAAGTTCTTGCAAATGGCCATATCTGCCCTTTTCCAGTCACCAGAAATCACCCTCAATCATCAAGACCTTCAAAAAATGACAGTGTCCTTGCAATGACATTGGCCAGCTCCTTCAGCACTCTTAACACAACCCTGAGTATCAGAAGTTTGCATATACTCCCTTTGCCTTACACAGTCAGCCTCTGTCAGGGCATAATGCTTCACTCCATGAGCCATTTCCACCAAATGGAGTCATTTTCCATCAGCATCAACACACTTGCTGCAAGCACTGATCAGTGCACTAAAAAGCACAAATAGTACAGACAACTGTCACCTGCTGCAAAAAAAGCGAACTTTCTTATAGAAGCAATATGCTAAAACAAGATTTTTTTTATTTTTAAACATACTCAGCATCTGTTTTGTTACAGTTTATTTTCTGCATGTTCTTTCTTTTCCTTCAAGCAGAAACTTTAACACAATTGATAAAAATCAACAGCTTGCAGAGCTTAGGTTTTAAGCTGCAAACTAAAGTGACCAAATCTAAACCCGGCATTTCAAAGTCCCCTTTGCTGCAGCCTTATTCAAAATTCCACATTTCATTAGCATAGCCATAGTACTACTATAAACAGAAAAGTCAGATATTAACAACCAACACTACTCGGATCAAAGATAGCTTTAGCACAGCACTCTGTAGGACAGCACTT